GATAATCTAAGTTAGCTAAGTACTTATTTTGAATGTATGACGTTATTTATAATATAGTTGATATTACCAACACTCTAACTTTTTTCTTTTTACCCCCACAAATTCTTTGATGTATTAATCCAATAAATTTATACGACAAGACAATGTATAGCGCGTACTGTGTGTATGAGAGTGTCAGCTTGTAAATAACATAGGATATAGGAATTTGTAGCTATAACAAAGCGAAATAAATTAAATCTAAGAACCATATGAGTGAGTGCATAGTATTATATTTATAACTGAAGTATATTATGAAAGCAGATATAAATTCAATACCCTTAAAACAGTCATTAACTAAGATTCCAAACCCACCAGTTCAGACCAAGAATTTCAACCAAAGTACTTCATCTGTAAGTGTACCAGTACTTCCTCCAAAAAAACAACTTGTTATATCAGGTGCAAAGGTGCAACCTAAAGATTCAGTACCAAAGGCTTTAGTAACTCCCGTTACAAAGCCAATTCCTAAACCTGCAATAAAAGCAAATATTCCAACAGTTCCTACATCTGTACCAGAATCTAAAGAAGTTCCTTTTTTATCAGAAGCTCATAATGGTGATATTAAGAAACAGGAATCCTTAAAATATATAGCTACCAAAGACGATACTAAACCACCAGAACCAACTATTAATATTTCTAAATCCCTAACAAAATCTATTACTACTAAATCATTAGACTTACCTGATGTCTCTAAATCTATAATGAAAGCTCCACCTATTAAGTCAACTGCAACTCTTCCTACTGTTACTGTTACTAAAGGTATAGTACCAGCCATAAAAGTAGGTAAACCTGCTCCACCTATTAAGTCAACTGCAACTCTTCCTACTGTTACTGTTACTAAAGGTATAGTACCAGCTATAAAAGTAGGTGAACCTGCTCCACCAAGTGTTATTCCTAAAGTTGAATACAAGGAAGATATAAAAATCCCCGACAAACAAGTTGATACTCATGAACCAATCCCTTTAGCTAATTCTACAAGTTTATCCAATAATAATATTAAGAAATCTGTTGCAACCAAATTACTTTCCAATCTTTCTGTTAATACTGAGTCAAGGAATATATTAAATATTAATACAAAAAAAACTATTCCAGAACTGAAAAGTAAATCTAATGGAATAATTTTACAGAATACTTCCTTAAAAGTAGATTCTCAACCTGAGAAGGTGAATAAGACAGATTTAATATCTCCTAATACTACTGAGGTTTCGAATACTTTAGTAAAAGAAGTAACAAATCCTAAAAACTCAAGGATAATTTCTGATCAGGCCACTAATCTTGAACCTGTGATAAAACTTTAGATGCTCCCATACTTTCCAAATTGACTGAAAGCTCTATAC